ATTGACGAGTAATTGCCGGCTACTCGCGGGTTACGACTTACGACCCATTAAAAAGTAAAAGGAACAAGACTTTGTGGGTCGGGTCGGGTAGTTCATACGCCTAAATTTATTTTAGAAAACCTAAATGGGTAGTGGGGGTACTGTACACTGGGAACTACTCTAAAAATTACGGAGTAAAAGAAACAAGACTTTGTGGGTACTGTATCTGCCCTTAATTCATTTATGGAGATGGAGTAGTGGGGGTACTGTACTGGGAACTATTCTGAATATTGCAATTTCTAATTACTCGTACTATTCTATACCTAAAGGTTTTTTTCTTCATTTCGTTTGGTATCTGACTTGATGAGCTGCTGCTTTGAATTTTTTTATACTCCCTATTTATATATTATCAACATTTTGGTACTTATTTTTTTAGTATCACTGTACTATTTAATCATTTTATTTATTTATTTCATACTATGGGTGTTTACATTAGTACCTAAAAAATTATCAATATTGACATATTCCACTCACCCAAGGGACGCCTAGGCGGGCACCTAATCGCCTAGGCGTCTGGAAGGTGGTCTAGCGCCCGGCCTCGCCTAGTCGCCGTAACAACTATGAGTGCGGCTAAGATGCCCTTAGCCTAACGAAAGGAGGGAGAATGGCGATCGGATTGTACAAGAGCAAAGATGATTTCCAAAGTTGCAATAATTATAGAGGCATCATACAGCTAAGCCACCCCATGAAGGTCTGGGAAACGTATCATTGAGGATAGGTTGAGAAAGGAGGTGAGCATTTGGAGAATCATTAAGGCCATTCACCTCTTGACGAGACTCATGGAGTAGTCTGTCAACACTATCACCACTACATATACACAGCCCCTAGAGTCAGGCATATTTAGGAGTAGCACGATAATTAAAATTCCAAGTCGAGTAGACATGGTATCGACCATATGCCAATAGCCATATATGAGCACCCAAACTAGAAAGTGGGATGTGCTCTTCCTAATTCTTTAAGAATAGCATATCCACTGAAGAGCGATATGAATAATTAAGACATTACTAAAAAGATGTTGCAAACTTATAATATAAGAGTTCCACTTACAACATCTTGTCTAGTCATTTCAATTTCCGCTGGACTTGACAAACCAAATTTCTCAAGATAATATCGATCCTTGTATCCAGGCTCTCCAAGCCTCACCTAAAAATGAAAAAGTAATTAATATGTACAGCACATATAGTATTGAGTTTCACATGACCAATTGACCATATATGAAATAGTATGCAGCTTGCTTATGAAAGCATGAACAGAAAAAGCAACAAATGGAGTACAAACCTTGTCCACGTCGGGCGGTGATGGCTCATCATTACTGTCATTTCTTGCCTGAGTGAATTCCAAAATGTATTCAAAATTAGAAACAAGATATGACAAAGAGGGTTCCTATTAAAAATGTTAAGGTTTATCACAGGCTGCATCATACAATAACAACAAACCCACTAAAGTCCCACAAAGGCAGCGCCTGGGGAGGAGGGTGTGTGTAAGCGCTAAGCAGGCCTTACCCCCACATGCCGCATCATAATGATTGTACTGTGTGCAAATAATGTCAGATGAAATTATTAAAAATGCAAAAAAGATGGTGATACTGCTTATAGAGACTGCATTCCACAAACCACTAAAAGAAGATGAATCAAGTACACTGTCATTCCATCAACTAGATATCCAGAACACCAATACTTTTATTTGTAGACTCCAATTCATATAATATCTCACATTTCTTTCAATATTTCATTGTAAATATGATAGATCACCTGACTAATACGAGCTCGTTTCCGGAAAATTTGGTCTTCGTGACGCGCAACTGCTTGAATAAAATGTTCTGCCCTATCAAGAGAAACCTGCGATTATTAACAATTGAACTAAAATTGGGCGCAATAGGTTCAAAAAGGGGAAAACCGCAAGAAATCTTGCAAACTAAGTGCCCAAGAAAAGTTATAATAGGCAGCAGGTCAATAGGTCAAAAAAGACAAGCCTCTAAGGAAAGATGAAAATATAAATGCATTCAATGGATACAAAGGACTTTTACCACTTTATTTAGGAAATATGAAAATGAGAATTTAATAACATAAATGCACACAAAGATTCCTCATACCAGAAATCGGTAAGAGGCGAAAGAAGTGGCTTCAAGTAATGTTTGAAATATAAGCATAAACTGAAAGCATAGATTACCTCACCCGCATCTGTGAGATAACCACCCATAACCGTAAACTCAGTTCTGTAAACGGCCATCAGAAGATTGATTGCCCCCTGGAATTGCAAAAGTCATCAACAAAATGTACAAAAAATGAATAATGGAAGGAAGCCTGAGCAACATGCTAGCATGCAGACTGCATAGAATGCTTGTTGAGCAGCAAAGAAAGAAATATTACTTGCTCCATAGTTTCCGTAACTCAGAGAATACCAATACAATTTTTAAGCAAATCAATATCCATCTAAGAGAGAAATGGGCAGGGGTGCATAAAAGGAGAATATAATTGGAAAATACCAATCTACAATATATCTGCATTTCCATGCATCCATGACAGTTTACCTCTCGAATCTCCAGTGTGGGCATATGAGGCAGAAAGTCATTGCCAACAAAGAAGCACAAGAAAACAAAGTCATCCAGCACCCTCTCGAAGTCTATTTTAAATGGGGGGTGCGAAATAGCCAAGTCATGTTGCAAATATTCCCGCAACACCCACATATTTATCAACTGCCAGCAATGCATAACAAAAGCAACAATGAGAACCAAAGATACGTGAATTCTTTGGGACTGAAGAAAGTATTGAATTTCTTTAACCTGGTACTTCTTCTTGTGGATGGGAATGGCATTTGAAGCTTTCCCATTTGCATCTGCAGTTTGACTAAAACCTATGCCATTACAATCTGCAGCCAAATGCCCAGATTGTCCACAAGCATAACACTTATTCTGCTGTCCAGGTGGAGGAATTACCTAAAAAGGAGATGTCTTAGGTTAGAAATTAAAAAGCAATTTGACTGCAAAACTAAAAACTTGGCAAGTACTCCTATTCCACAAAGTAAGAGTGAATGTGAGCCACACAAACATTACTATTGTGGCATGCGACAAAAAAGTGGGACAAAGGGAGTAACTAGTATTAACCTCTCTTAGTATTGAAAAATGCACTTCATGAGTAGCCAAAGACAGCATTATTAGATCTGCATCCTAATTCAAAAGGATTGGAAGCACATGGTATAAGTAAATAAGACATCAAAAAAAGATGCAAAATGAGAAATGCATGAATGAGGATAAAGATTTAAAAATTATCACTCACAAGACCATATAAACAATGGCTTGTGTTTGGATCAAAGCCTGGAAGGTCACGTTGCAAGCGAATGTAGGACATGATTTTGTGCTCCCCCTCACCAGGGACATTTGCATCAGAGAGAATTACCTTCAAACAACCACCAATCCAGCCCCATAAATAAGTTAAGAGACTAAACTGTCCTGAAAACCAGAAATGTAATGGAAAATACCAAAAAGGATTACTCCTTATAGGCAAATCATCTGCTCTCAAATCACACCCTACTGAGAAAGGGTGATGAAGAAAGTGTTGCTAAACAATGACAGACCTTTGTAAACCGCCAGCCAGCATTATTATTCAGCCTTGATTGTATATAATACTGTAGAGCCACTGAAAGTACTGCCATAAACGGAGTCCCAGGAGTAATAACATTTGAATCAGATGTCTCTGTCTTTTCTACCGACAATTTGGCCCCCTCAATCTCAAATTCCTTCCTCAACCTTTCTTCGGCTTCCTAAAAATACATTAAAATCCAATAGATTCTACATTTATTGCTTTCTTTAAACTACAAATCATACAGTCCTTACAGTCTCTGCAGCATCTTTAGCCGCTTTGAAACGCCTGGTACGTTGTTGGTTCATTTTAGCTCTAGGAGCCACTCCATCTAATTTATTTAAAACAATGTCATAGTAAGCCAAAATATTGAAATGTTTCGCAAAGTTGACAAGAGTAAATATAATACCTATTTTGCTTTTAAGGTAAGAGAATTGGATAGGTTGAACGGTTACTACTTACCAATTGCCAAATAAAGTAGCTTTCTTGGACGAATCAATGAAAAGAGATGATCAATGTACTCGAAAATTGATTTGAATACATCATTGTAAGTTGCAGGAGCAGGCTGGAAATAGAAGAGCAGACATTATGATTCACAAGAATAGAAGCTGATATATATCATAAATCATAAAATGGCCAAACAAAGTACAAAACTTGTTTTATCAGCCGAAGAGAATTTTTTTTAAGGAAACTATGATACGGTTTCAAAAATTCGGTTTCAAAAAGAAAACTACGATATGAATGCTGTTATATAACACAACTATGACATATCTACACATTCTGTCACTGAATATCAGCACTTTTTGAAGGGGAATTCTAAGATCATTTAATGCAATTTGTGTGAGAATGATTACAATTTACAAAGTTTTTTTTGTTGCTTCAGTCAGATGGGAATTTTCACAAACAATGCCTATGGTGTACCTGTATGGAAGCACACTTACCTTATACTCTGCTTTATTTTCTAAAAGTCCTTTTTGTGAAATTAGTAATGTTCTCTTTTTCATTAAGTTGGAAGACCTCGTGTTTTTAAAAAAGAAATTGTCTCTCTTTTGCTACAATTTACACCTCGGAAGCAACTGTAGAGGAACAGATCTTTAAAAAAACATACTCCCTCCATCCCACACTAAAATTTACACTTTGATTTCACAAGTTTAACGCTTTAGACTTTACACTTTGATTCCACTAGTTTAAGATAAGTATTGAAAAATATTTAGTTGGAATTAATATAGAAGAAGAAAAATGTTATGAGCCATATATTCATTTCTCAAAAAGGAAATGGAACAAGTGTAATGTTTGTTCTAAGATGAACAAAAAAGGAAAATGTATATCTCATTAAGTATTAACATAATCTGCCATGATCAAGAAACCAATTCAGGCGTTAGGCCTTTTTGCCCAAATCACATTTAAAGTTTAAACCACCAAGTTTCCCATCCAACATTTTCTCATAAAGATAACGCGTTCACTATACTACATCATATTCTCAGTTTTTAACAAGATTAGAATCAGCCCACTAAATTTGCAGCCTTTGTTCACTGCACCTAAAGTGTACAAAGATTTAGTTTTTTCATTAGCAAAGCCCAAGAATATCCATTAAATGACAAAGCACTATAGATTGTGAGATAAAGAGCAATTACATTTTATCAGTCTTTTGAGGATAAAAGACAAAAACAAAAAAAAAAGTATATATAAGTATGAGATGATTTGAAGTAAGCTTTTGAGCTGAAATTCAAGGAAATAAAAAAAAAAAATCGCATACCATCCCTTCCGGGTGAAAACAGGGGTGAATAATCCCATTCATGTCGAGATACAAGTTGTCGAACTCCATCCCGTTAGGGTTCGGCCCTGACACGTCTACCGGAAAAGGCATGCCGTCCCTGGGTTCTTCCTCCGCCACGTCAGCGATCGACAGTGGGTACCGATCAGCCAGCCACCTGTAGAATGCCGGTACTCCCATTGCTCCTCCTTAGCCGGTGGTTTTGCAGAGCCTCGCCTTTCTCTATTTCCCTTCCTCACTCCGTGATTCACCAGATCGAAAAGCAGAGTAACAAAATTAGAGGCGGCTCTCTGAGCTTTAACTTGAAGAATGGATTAAAATGTTCGTTCAATTTGCAAATACAGGCCTGTAAATTTTGCTTTTTTATTCTTTTCTTTATTTTGTGTGTAGAGCTTAATGGTCTCACATTTTCAAAAATAACTCCAAAAATGTCTTAAAATTTAGGGTGTGTTTCTTTGAGAAAAAATATTTTTGGATAAGATTATTTTCTTTAAAAAAAAGTTCAAATAAAATTCTCCACATTTTACATTGTTTGGTAGGGAGGAAATAGTTTTTTTTTAAAAAAAATACTTTTTTAATTGTTAAGATTTCAAAATTTATGTCTAAAAATATGCCTTAAAGATAAGTTTAAACTATTTTATCAACATAGATGCAGTGGGCAGGCGGCGTAGGATAAGGGTGTTGGCGTGGGCTAGAAGGGGGAAAGGGTAGGGGCGGGATAAGAGGCGGGGGGCAGGAGTGGGTGGGCTGAGGGTGGACAGGCGAGGCGGGTGTGGACGGAGGGCTAATGAGATAGTATGAGGCTAGGGGGTAAGGGTTGCGTGAAGGGGGTTGACGAAGGCAGGGTGGGAGGGGCAGGTGCTAGGAGTTGGGCATGGGGTGGAGAATGGGAACGAGGGCAAGGAACAAATAATAATTTTTCTTCGTAAACAAATGAAAAATATTTTCCCTTGGATGAGAAAAAAATGTTTTCTACTAATTGGTGTACTTTCACTACGACCGGCAATTAATTGGCCTATGAAATCCTAAGAGTAAATTCCATATTTGGTCTTTTATAACAAGGGAGTTTCCATATTTGGTCCTCTATTATCAAATATTACCCCCGTAGTCCTTTTTTTAAGGATGTTTTTCCACAAATAATCCTTTTTTATCTTCTACCATGTTGGTGTTAATTTAAAGGCTAAAAGTATAATTTGACATCAACATTATGTTTAGTGATGCGTTCTGATATTGGTTAAGCGAATAACACAAAAATAATGATTATGATTGTGGACTAGTATTTAGACGAAAGACCACATTTGTAACTATGGTTGTAGTAGAAAGCGACTGTAATTCACAAACGACGCAAACAGAATAGTCTTTGGAATTGTGTATGACAAAAAAATATATTATCATTGTGAAATTACACTTTTAGCCCTCAAATTAACACCAACATGATTGGAGATCAAAAAAAGACTATTTATGGAAAGATACCCATAAAAGAAGGACCGCTGGAGTAATATTTGATAATAGAGGACTAAATAGGGAAACCCCCCTGTTATAAATGACTCATTATGGAATTACTCAAATCCTAATGTTACTTTTACCATAATTATTATAGGTTACCTCAATTTTTATAATAAGAACTTGCAGATTCTATTTTATCTTCCTCCGCAATTTCATCCCGCTAGCGAGATTAGAACAATGGGATGGAGATAACTATGGTGGTGGAGGTGCAACACTAGTGTTATAGGTGTCGTTGGTGATATTTAGCGAGATTGGAGTGAGGGAGGGGTCAAATATTGCTTAGTCAACAGTGATGAAGATGGTGGTGGTCAGTGTTTGACGTGGACTATGCATCAATTATGTGTCCACGTCACTTGAGCGGGAGTAATTAGAGCTAACGGAAGTTACTGAATAAAAAAGCTGGATGTCACCAGAGTCACCGCGGAGGTAAACAATTTTTCGCACAACGCTCAATTGGAGATGAGTTCGAGACCTCTAATGTTATGAACATTAAATTTCTCTTGGTATTTCGAAAAAAGATTAAATTGGAGATAAACATAGAAAAAATGTCAAAGTAAGAGCTCTCTGTCTTTATTCTCAAAATTATAGTTACAATGTATATTACCTAAAAAACATTGTGGAATTTCAATATACAATACTATATTGCACAATCTAACTCTTGTTTGGAGGTTAAAAAGTATAAAGCTTATATTTTGATATTTTTTCTATACTTCTTTTTTATTTTGAGTGATTTTTTTCCTTTTTTTTTGTTCTTGAGCTTCAACAATCTAATGATAGGTCTCGAACTTACACGAAAACTGTAAAGAACAAAGATTGAGCACTCAAAAATCGCCAAAAGCATGGTTCCCATCTCAAGTCATCATAACACAACTTAGTGAGGGAGAAGAAATTAAGGAGGAACATACTTGCGAGTTCTTGAGATAAGACTCGATGTACTCTAAAATAATTATGTTAATGACTAACTGAATTCTTGCTATAATGGTCAGTTTGACGAAAAGTATTTCAAAATAATTTACTTCGATTTTTAAATTCTAGGAGTTATTTTTAATATGTCACATCTCAAAGTTCTATGTATAAAAGTAAGATTAAATTTTTAGAATGATACTTAATACTCCGTAACTATGTGTTTTCCTAAATTAGTTCTCAAAAACTATTTAATTCTTGAAATAATACTTGATAATTGAGAATAACGTTCAGTTTAACCCCTCCGACTAACAGCCGTTAAAACAATGTTAAAAGATGTTTAACCTTATACTATTTTCTCAAAATGATACTATCTAGTTGGTAGTTTTCTCAAATTGGTCTATTTTCAAAATAAAAATACATTAATTATGGAAAAATATTTCAAAATAGGATGAAAATATAATACTAAAAACAATAAATATAATTTTATAATTATGAAAATATTTTAAATTATTTCCAATTATTTAAAAGAATTAAATATTTAATAAACGTTGAAAAAATCATCCTAAATAAAAGAAAAATATAGAGAAAGAGCTCCTATTTTGATACTTCTTTTATGTTAACTTCTTTTTAGGGTAATTTTTTTAACGATTATTAAACATTTTATTTACATGCTATTCTTCTAGATAATTATAAATAATTGAAAACATTTCCTATTAAATTTATAAAATTAGATTTGTAGTTTTAAATATTATATTGTCATCCTGTAGCATTTAAAATATTTTTCCATAATTAACATATTTTCATTTTGAAAATGGACCAATTTGAAAAACACCAGTTAGAAAGTATCACTTTGAAAAAATAGTACTCCGTATAAAGTTTAACGTCATTTTAACGGCCGTTAGTCAAGAGACTGAACAAACATTATTTTCAATTAACGATTATCATCTCGAAAATTAATTAATTTTGAGGACTGATTTAGAAAAATATATAATTTGAGTACTATTTTGGAATTTAAAAATTCTTTAAAAAGAAGATCCAAAAGATTAAATTAAAGGAGAGCTGTGTGTAGCCTGGAAAGAAGAGGTGAGATATGGGGAGGCGGCGTGGTGTGGATGCAGGAGGGCAGAACAAGTCCGGGGCATTCTTCTTCTTCACGGCGACGCTGTTGGTGTGGGCCGCCTCTTTGCTGTTCGAGATTGGCTTCAACCGGCGGACGGAGCTGTCTCCCATCATCGCCGGCTTCTGCTTATACCAATCGGCCAATTGGTTCATCCGCACTTGCTTCAACCGAGACCCTCTCGTCGTCAATACCTCGGTATCCCTCCTTCACTCATCCCTCACCTCCGTATCAGGTTTGACTTTGCTTCGCCTTTTGCTCTTTCTATTCATTGTTTCTCTGCTTGTTTGAACTGAAATGAGCACCAATGTCTTGTTACACGCTCAGTTGTGAAATAATGTTTAAAACTGCGAGTATTTGTTTGAATTACAAGTTAGCCGGATTGAGGTGAATGAATCGAAGCTTAAGAATCAAATCAAATTGCTGAAACTGCAAATAACATCAATGCGCAGTACCCCCTTGTAATAGTTGAATTTGGACAAATCCCAACAGCATTTCGCTTTGGGTCAAATCATAGCTGGATTAGTTGATTGTTATTAAGCTTAAAAATCAAATCAAATTTCTGAAACTGCAAATAACATTGCATTTCTATTTAGTCGTAATATTTGTTTTTTTATAAAAAAGATCAAAGTCCCACACTGGGTCGCTACGAGTCGAATCCGGTTTGGAGAGTTACTTAAAAGGAGGTAAATGAAACTTTAATCCGGGCAACATGGAGTGAGTCCTAGTGTCCATAGTCTTAGCAAGGACAATAGTGTCAAAGCATAAAAACTCCACACCGTCCTTACTAGGAGTCGAATCCAGCTATAACACCTTTTGCACCCTCATTGACCAGTTACCCCACCTGGGCATAATATTTGAATTATTGCATACTTGCGTGAATGTGTCTAATAGGATACAAAAAACCAACGAAGAAACTGGATTGGACGGGCAATGGGCAGTTTAGTAAATATGTTGGATTGTTAATATAAACACTTTAATTTTGTAATGTATGGAGTATGTATGAGCATCAAAACTGGCACAGGCAGGCCTGTTCTAGAGCCCGGTCTTTGGCTATTCAAGATATGTCATTGATCCTAAATTCCCAAGCATACCAAATGTGCTTTGAAAAATACTAGACTCGTACCCGTGCGATTAATCAACGTTGCTTTCATATACACCTAGGATTCAATAGTAACTAGTACCTGCCTCAAAAGAGACTAATAGTCATTAGGGCTGCGTGGTGCACAAAGCATCCCTGCTGAGCAAAGGTCCGGGGAAGGGTCCAGCCACAAGGGTGAAATTCGACAAACCTCGCCATCTTATGAACCCGTGCAGATTTTAGAAGTGAGATAACACATATGATGGTGGGAGTTAAAACAATGATTGACTTTATCTAGAAAAATGTATTTTATTGAACTCGGTTATACAAAAAGTGTTTCTGCTGCTTAATCATTAATAGCACCCTCTTTTGCAGTTATTTCTGTTTTTGCCAATCAGTGGATGAGAAGCAGTTTGAGTACAATGTTTGGACACTCAGAGTTGGTTGATCATTCTTGGCCATGGGCTTATTCCGCTTTGTGCATTTCATGTGGTTATTTTGCTTATGATCAGTTGGATATGCTGCTATACCATTTATACAGTGGTTGGATTCCTTCAATCCTGGTGCATCATCTTGTGCTTCTTATTTGCTTTACCATGGCTTTGTATCGGAACGTGACGATCAACTACCTTATTCTTACTCTTGTCTGTGAGGTAAGTTTCTGTTTGGTTTCTCCGCACGTTATATCGTTACAGCCTTTCCTGTACTTCATTGATAATGCTCTGTTTCATAGCCTTTTCTCTCTGATTCCACTTATCATCCGAAGGAGCAAATAAAGTACATTTGGACTTTGACTTACTTAATTAGCTTAAATACATATATGTTACCAAACACTTTCCCATCTCTGAAAATGTGGCAGATCAAATCATTTAGGCCAAATAACCTACATAAAGGGCCTTAAATTATTTTGTTTTTGTGTTTTTATCTGTGTCAATGTTTTCGTATGCATATAAAACTTTTCATTATTTATGCCCTTAACATGGCCTATTGCAAATTTTTCTTACCTTGCTAACAAGCCGGTAATAAACTGTATTGTATGTCACCAGCATCATATAATGATCATCTCATAATTCATGTATGTGATTCTTGCATCGTTCTGAATGCTGCAGTTGCATTCAGTCTTTTTGCACGTGAGGAAATTGAGGCGAATGGCGGGTGTCCGGGGTACTTCTAGGAGCACATTAGTGAAGCTAGAGTGGTGTGGTAACTGGACAACATATGTGCTAGCTAGGTTTGCGTCACATGTTCTCATCACGATGAAGCTACTCAAAGATGCCCACAAGTTTAACAAGGGGTTGGAACTCCCACTTGCTCTTCTTGGCATGGCTGGTATGAATTTGCTTAATGTCTTCCTGGGAGTCGATCTCTTTAAAGCCTACTCCAGAGAGAAGAATGAACACAGAGATCATCACAAATGAGACATTATATTATATTACATATATATATATTCTCACTCACTCACTCGCCTATATAGACCACTTTAATTTCTTAGAGAACCCCAAAATTGTTCTATACACCCAAGTTGTGTAGTTTTGTTGTTGTTGTTGAAAATTGATAACTCTTGAAAAATATGTTGCATTTGTTTGTTGATTGTAACTTCCCTTTTTATCGTCATAAGGCCACGTGACGTGGACTTGTAATATGACTGTCAACGTAAGAAGTGTATAATATTTGGACACCGAATCTGACATCATTGATCAGGATTTTTTTCGTATTGAAAAGAGCTCATTACAATTCTTCATTAGTGGCTTAGAAAAAGGGATTGCATTTTACTCTGTATTATTCTTATCATTTCCATATCCACAAGCTAGGTACTTACTATTCATACTCCGGCGGAGTTAAAAATTGATCAGGGGCAAGTTTTGAGCTACCAAAAATCTCCAAGTAATAAAAAAGGACTATAATTTCATAAGACAAGAAAATTATGTACCACCTCCGGGACAATTATTATATATATAATCATAGTAGATAAATGTTTATTTCAGAAAAAAATTGAATTCACCACATGGAAATTGAGTAGAATAAACTATCACAAAAACTATTACACACTATGATTTTGAATTTAGCATAAGATTTCCTATTGACAAAAATGATTTACATATTCCAAATAATAATATCCCAAAATTTGTATTTCCTTGATGGATTTTATAGTTTACAATGCAAGAATTTTTATCTGAGCTAAATGTAATCAAAGATATTCATACTCATCAAAATAGTGATTATTACCTTAAAAAAAGAGCGATTATTAGTAACACTCATTATTATGAATCAGTACTATGTTGCACGGATTCTTCAAATAGGTGCTACTTCTCGTCCTCGTATTTTATATATTCGGAAGAAAATAGGCATTTCACGCTTCCAACCCCTCCCATATAAGTCCATGCCCATCTCTCGTTGTAACTTAGAACCAGTATATCACTAAATTTTAGAGAAAAGGATGAGAGTTGAAAAAAAGGCTGAAAAAATTTAGATTTAACTAAAATTATTATCAATTCAATTTATATCATTTATAAGAATTACGGAGTAGAAGAAAGTAAGAAAATAAGCAAAGAAACCAAAGTTTAATTATGTAAAAAATAAATAAAAAATACTCTCTCCGTCCCAATTTTGATTACAATCTTTTTTTTATCTCACCTCTCGATAACTTTTGTTTATTTGTGTGTTTTTTTATCATTTGATAAAATAAAATATTTTTGTCCTCTCTTATTTTGTAGAGCTTTTGACGTAGTCTTTTAATATGTAGTTTTTATTTTTACCGATATATCAACTTAGAAAATAATTTTAAAAATAGAAGATTTTGTCTTGTAAGTCTCAATTTATAATCAAACTTGGGTAGGAGAGAGTATATGTTTGGCACACAAAAAGAGAACCGAACAAAGACCATTTTGGGGAAGACATTAGTTTTCTATGATGAAAAATGCTAGAGCCAGGCAAGAAGGGCGGTGTATATCCCTTGTCCCCTAGCATTGTGTGATATCCACAATGGGATTCCATCCCTGCTCTGCTGCTGCTTGGAAGAGGGAAACCACCTGCTCTCTCTGCGTGCACGGTGCACATACATCACTAAATAAATAGTACAAAAAGAAAAAGGCTCTCCGAAGAAGGTATTATTATTAGCTTCTAGATCTACTTTGTTTCTTCCAACATTGTACCAAATTGATGAGCTGCTTGGCTCCATCTCTTTCTCAAATGAAGACCTGAGTTTGAACCACAGACTGCTCTCTCATCGGCGGTCACACTGTACTGTGTTGATTATGGCAACTTGTTTTCATTTGCAGTCACTCTGCTAAAGATATATACATACGTACATACATGGAGGAGGAAAAGGATGAAATCGCAAAAGATATCACTGAGGTATATATAGTATGGTGCCATGCTTTTTGGATTTAGTCCCCATTTGGTTGTCCACTTACTTATTTTCGTCCAGATTTAGCTGCCCGACTTCCAGCTTTAAATAAAGAAATCATGATGAATCTGATAGAATTTAGGATTGGGTAGAGATAACTGGATTGGGCAATAAGACACTTGGGCTCTGAACCACATTAAAAGATTGAATCCAATCTACTCCGTATTAGTTAGTTCAACTCAAGAGTTTATATACCAATTAATTTCCTCGCACTTTTCCGATGTGGGATGCTCTTTAACAGAATCATCTAAAATATCCTCGAGATGAAGTATGAACGTTGTCGACGTGAATGAGTGGCAAGCTCATTTGAAAGATTTATTTGTCATTTAAACTCATTTTTTTCAAAAATGACTTTCTTTTAGAAAGTGGACGACTAATTCCGCGCAAAGGGAGTATATCTCCTCTGATTTTATGCATCAGTATAGTGTTCTATTGATTCCACACATGCACAGTTGATAGGAAATACCCCATTGGTATACCTCAACAAAGTAGTGGAAGGTTGCGTAGCCCGCGTTGCTGCCAAATTGGAAATGATGGAGCCCTGTTCAAGCGTCAAAGACAGGCAACTTGATTGCTCGTTCCACACACACACACACACCTACTCGATTGTTATTGCCGTTGTTTTCGTGTATCCTATTTCTTATGAAGGTTTGTACCCTGAACGGTTTTCCTAATGTAGGATTGCATACAGTATGATTAAAGATGCCGAAGAAAAGGGCCTAATTACACCCGGGAAGGTTAGCGTTCACTTCCTGTTGGCATCACGGCGAAGATGATGATGATGATGTATTGATTGAGTACATTCAAACATTTTCTAATGTGTGTAAATATAATATGGTGGTTGGTGAAGACCATACTCGTAGAGGTTACCAGTGGAAACACTGGCATTGGTCTTGCGTCTGTTGCATCCGCTTGGGGATATAAGCTTATCATAGTGATGCCACACACATATAGTCTCGAGAGAAGGATTATTCTCAAAGCTTTTGGAGCTGAACTACATCTCACTGATGCAGCCAAGGGATTTGAAGGCGTCATTCAAAAGGCCCAAGAGATAATGGATAAGACGCCAAACACTTATTTCTTGCGCCAGTTTGAGAATCTTGCTAATCCTAAGGTACCCGGCCTTTCCCTATGGATTGACGTGGAGTAGCCGCATGTTCTCGTAAATAGAACACACGAGGTTTTATATATGACATGAGCTCGTCTAACAGATACTTCATCCAACCCATAATTAAGTAAGTTTTTGTTTTGTTAGATCACATTTTTATGAAAATGGAAATTGTGTAGTCAAAATTTGTTTGGAAGAGATAGAAACAATTTCATCCGCATAATTTTTTAAAGAAGAAAAGTGAAGCACAATTTTGGGATGGCCCAAACAAGAAAGAATGTACAAAAACATGGGATGAATGTAGTATTCTCAGGAAAAAAAAAGCGAGAGTAAATGATGGCCTTATTTGGGAACAACGTTTTCAGCTAGTGTTTGGATAATTTTTTTAATGGTGCGGGTTAACTCTGAAAATGCTGAAGCTGTTTCCAAACGGGCCCAACTACTATATATAGAGTGTGTGATATATGCTGTTCTGCTTGCTTATTCGGGTGTCCACGTGTGTGTAGATTCATTATGAGACAACGGGACCTGAGATATGGAAATGCACTGATGGAAATGTGGATGCTCTAATTGCCGGGATCGGAACGGGAGGAACTGTCACAGGGGCCGGAAGATTTCTCAAAGAGAAGAATCCAGACATGAAGGTAGATTTGCTTTCTTTTAGCTGTGAAACCCACTAAGGCCTTGTTTGTTTATCATATATTTTTACTCCTCTGCATGTAGATATTGAATCCTCTTTGTTTCATTTCCCATTTGGTAATCTCGCCCTCTTTTTTTATCCCCTGTTTATTGTTAAGTAGGTATACGGTGTAGAGCCTGCCGATAGTGCAGTTTTAAGTGGGGGAAATCCAGGTTTGTCTTAAACTCGTTCCGATTATTGAAAATCAACAATTTTGGTGTTTGTATTGAACTAAAGACTAGTTTGATTAAGCTCAAACTTAGCTTAATATAGCGTCTAACTATCTACTAACCTACTTAAATTATATTTTGGTACAGGAAAGCATAAAATCCAAGGTATTGGTGCTGGTTTTGTTCCTGCTGTGTTAGACATCAGTATACTTGATGAAGTGTTTACCGTAAGTTTCTCCGTAATTTCAACCATTTTTTTTTTAAATTCAAGAAGGAAAAAAAACCACGTCTTAAAAAAAGGGATGAGGAGCGCATCTATTTATTGTTTACTGTGTTTCTTTATCAGTAGTGATTTCTTTAACGAATGCCTTGGGTTATTTTTTTAGGTAACCAATGACGAAGCATTTGAAATGACAAAGCTCCTCTGTCTCAAAGAAGGTTTGCTGGTATGTTTATTTTGGGGGATAACATTAACATTTATATTGAGTATTGACTCCACGCGCACACCTACTGATGAAGGATTTAGAATTATGTTAAGAATAAGTGTTGATTAGGGAGTTTATTGATTCATATTTAGCCCATGTATTTTTCTCCAGGTTTTTCAAAGGGTGCCCCACTATTATGACTATGGATCAAGTCATATAGTCAGATCATATATGACTTTTGATACCATGATAGCATTAGAACAATATTTCGGGAAAATATTTTTGTGCATTTCGATTGAAGTTACAAGCTCCAGGGAGTCTATGTATGGTTGAGAACCCCACATCCCGGGAATTCTAATTATAAAAAGGGTAGAATTCTAAATCAAGTAATACAAGGAAAGAGAATAGACTAATAATGAACAAATACTCGTCGAATTCTTAACAAATTCTTGATCCAATGAATTATTCACTTCAGGCGGGCATTTCGTCGGGGGCTGCAACCGTTGCTGCTATCAAAGCTGCTAAGAGGCCAGAAAATGTTGGAAAACTCTTTGTCGTATGTCTTTCTTTCCTTCTTTCTTTAGAAGGGCCAACCAATTCCACGGTATCTTACGATAGTTTGTTAGAGAGCTTGCATTTGCATTTGCATTCCATACTTTGTTGTTGCTTATTAGCTTGCTCATTTTCTCAACCTGGGGTTTAATTTGCTTCAACAGGTTATATTCCCGAGCTTCGGGGAGCGTTATCTCTCAACTGAGTTGTTTGATTCGGTGAGGGAAGAAGTAGAGAATATGAGAGTCCAATAAATTTTTCTATCTCCCCTCGCAGTTATAGCTTTCTTGAGATCATGGGACCGATCCACTGGCCCGTGTAACCGACCACATACTCGGTACCCCTGGCCGGTGAGCCCAATCCTCTATGACCATTACATGTGTTTAGTACTTCTATAATGTTTTCTCACTCTCATTTTCCCTTTTTTCATCCGTATTAAATTATTAATAAAATTTGCGTGCATTTATGACCTGGAACATTGATTTGTGGGACGGATGGAGTATTTTATAGTCACTTTTTTTAAAAAAATGAGATACTTCAGAAATTATATATAGGCAAGAGGGGAAATGCACATCCATGAATTATATAGTCCCCAAGAAATCAAAAGGTTGAAATTTACCCACCACAAGTTCACAAACTGACCAGTTCCAAAAATGATGACAAATGGAAGAATCATTTGTGCAACACACCAAATCAACCATTGGTTTCACTGGGTATATATAAGCCGCTGCATCCATTTCATTCCTAAAGAATAATCGATGAGCGCACAAGAGCAACCACTCCGGCCACGCGCCGCCACCGCCCAATCAGCGGATGACATCAATGATACCATCCATGACGACCGACACGGCCCTCAGATGACCAATGCATCTGAAGGCCCAAAAGAGAAAGAGGTTGGAAAACAGATGGTGGCCGACTCTTCTCTGGGTGGAGAGGGGCAGGGTTTAATTTTTTTTTTATGGAAGTCTAAAATATAAAAAATATGATTACCAAATAAAGTTCATTTGATCTTAGAATTTAATGTGATAGAGGCTGTTTGGCAGTGTGTTGCTTTTAATCATTTAGCTTCTGATTTGAGTAGAAGTGATATTATTCTGTTTGGCATGTCAGCTTCTGTTTTTCACCACCACTATTTTGTACATAGAACACTGTTTCAGAGAAGCAGGTAGGAGGTGTTTCTGCTTTCAACTTTTGTGGAAATTACTTTATCCATACGTTAATCACTCCCAAACACCATCATAATATGAAATTGAACACCTATGATGCTCGTAGCATTTATATTTTTATCCTCCCTAATATAACCTTCCAATCATAACATAGTCTCACACTCCTCCCTCTAGTTTTACTTCCAAAATTTACTGAATTTTGGGTAAAAAAAAACCTCACAACAAAATCTACAAAATTTGGGGTGTATTATTTTTTAATTTAATGACAATATAATATAATACAGGTTTCTTCTCCAAGAAGAATCACAATTACTATTGGAGAAGCGTTGGAAGCAACGGCCTTGACGGCAGGGGACAGAGCAGTGGATTACGGAGATGCGGCTGCGATACAAGCGGCGGAGGTCAGGGCCACAGGGCGGACAAGCATAGTCCCTGGCGGTGTTGCGGCGGCCGCTCAATCGGCAGCTTCCCGCAACGCGCGCGCCACGTGCGAGCGGGACAAAACGAAACTGAGTGAGATCCTCTCGGACGCGAGCTCAAAGCTGCCGTGCGATAAGGCGGTGACCCGCAGGGATGCGGAGGGAGTCATCGGAGCGGAGGTGAGAAACGACCCCAATTTGTGCACTCGTCCCGGCGGCGTTGCCGCTTCCGTGGCCGCCGCCGCAAGGCTCAACAGCCAGAACTCCGCCGACGTGAAGCACAATTAGCAGACTAGAGACTATTCGTCCCCATTCTTATTATTATCATCATGTACGGGGGGAGTATTATTTTTTGTGGGAGTTGTTTTTTGAGCAAGATATAGCCATCGTACATACGTAGAAATATTCCGTATGATTGTATGGAGTCATGGTGAACAATGATTTTTTCCATATACTCGGCATCTACTTTTATACTTCCTATCCGCTAGAACTTTTCATGTAGTTTATTACTATATAAATTTTATTTTAAAATTTTACTCCTATAATCAATTAAATTGAATTGAAAATAAAGTCGGTCAAACCTCGTAACGCGTAATGGGAAGATCATACATGGACGGAGGAAGTACTAAATATAACTAAAATATAAGTCATTTCTTAATGTAGAACATAAAATTTTTATTTTCTAAATAAGACTTAATAATTTCTAGTGGAAGAAATAATATCTAATGGTGGTGAACATTTACTTGGATAATAACTAATGGATAATGATCAATGATCCTACATTGAGAAAATAAAAATATATGATCATATATTGAGGAAATCATTATGTTTTAGTTCTATTTAGTTAAATTTTCTTTAATTTTTCACATATTTTATTTATAAATGTATACTCTCTCCGTATAAAAATATATATCTTCCCGTTCACTATTCACATGATTAATTTTTATTTATTTTGTTTGCTTATTTTCGTTGCTGATTTGATAAAATAGTATAACTATGTCATCTCAAGTCTTGTAGATCTTTTGATTTTGTTTATTTATGTAATTTTTACTTTTTAAGAAAAATCACCTTAAATAGGAGCAAACCTTATCGAAAACATCAAAATAAAAGTTTCATGTTTTTATTCCTCAAATAGAAGTTTCTACTATAGTAATGTGGCACTCTACATATGCATTTTACTATACTTTTTGGTATTTTATAGGAGTGATGAGTACTATTTTTCCCTAGAGTACTATTTTAGATGAAAAATGATGTAAAATAAAAAAATAAGAAAAAAGAGTAAAGTGGAAGTAAAACATTGAAAATATACTAAAATAGGAGTTCCATGTGTTTTTTTTCGAAATAGAATTTAAAATACATTTACATTATCAATTATGACCATGCACATTACCAAAAAAGAGAAGAAATGCATAATATTTTCCAATTTATTAGAAAAATGACTCTTCTTGTTTCATAAAAATTTTTTACATTTTTTTCTCAGATAATACAAAAGACCTACCCTTCACGTATGTGGACACGGTACGGTTCCGGAACCACCGGTTCCGGTACCGCCACCCCATGTAACCGGAACCGTCACCGTGCCGGCCGGTACCGGTTCCGGTTCCCGGACCGGCGGTTCCGGACCGGCCGGGTTCGCCCCCCCNTTTTTAAAGTATAAAATTGTAAATTTGCAATTGTTTAAAGAAAGAATGAAATAAAAAATCTAAAAATGTAGTTGTTATTTAAATATTGAAAATGAGTAATACACTAACTGAAGAACAACCACATTTAATATCCTGACAGTTCAAAAAAAGCGACGAGGTAAAGAACCGTAAAGAAACCCTCGAAGGAGCTTATATATCGCTCACCTAAAAAAATTAATTACATATTTACATTAACATAAAAAAAATTTATAACTTATTATTCAGAACTCGGACTTCCATATGTGGTTGCATTCATGTAATGCTCCGATTCGAGTTGGTACGATGACTCTTGAGCCCGACGCCTTGCCAAGAGCCAATCTTGGTTGCAAACCAGTGTTTCAAGAGATTCAGCGTTAAGACAACTTCGATAGTCGGTTAAAATGTTCCCGCCAGCACTGAATTCTCATTCAACTGCTACGGTTGATACTGGGACGGACAACACTTGTCTTGCTAGCATGCCGAGACATGGGAACATGTGTTCGTTCCGCTTCCACCATCCGAGCACGTCAAAATCGACATCGTCGTCATCGTAATCGCATGGCACACCCTGGTACATAGCAAGTTTGTTGTGCGAGCTTACTGTTGTACCACTTGAACTCGTCGAAGACTGGGCACGCTTCATTTTCTTTGCAAGAAGGCCACCGACTATGGCGGCAAAACCTTTTTTGATTTCGGGGGCGGAGGTGGTGCTGTTTCTTCTTGTACAGTACCGTATAACCCTTGATATTCCTTAAACAAATCCTCAAAAAGAGTTATAGAATTATCTCTTTCATTTTTCCATTCTACTAAATAGCTGTAGTAATAACTATTTTTATCTAAAAAACAACTGTAGTAATACTCAATTAGAATTTTAAAATTTTCAATCTTAAATCGTGGATCACAAATAATACCTATTTTATAAATATCAGGAATGTACAAATAATAAGTACACCATTTATCTCTCATAGGGGAGACATAAGGGTAAAAATCTGGATCAGCCATACTTTTACGAAAACTATGCCATCTTTTGTGTCTTTGTCAAAATGATAAACAAATAAATCTGATTTATATTTTTTTCACCTTTGTCCGGACCTCGAGAGGTCTCGGGCTCACCTGCCTCCACGTCGACGTCGTTGCTTTGCGGTGTAGGCTCATCGTCCCCGTCAAGATTATCGAGTCCTGCTTCATCAACATCCTCGAATAGACTATCAAGAGTGGGGAGATTCGCGTCTCCTCTACCAGAATAAATCTGGTTGAATTCTTCATCCGTCATAGCGTCTCCGATTAAATGATCTGGGATAGTAGGAAACGAAGAGACGGAGTGTCTTCCTCGAGAACCGCGTCCGCGTGAGGTCGAACCGTCGGAGGTGGCTTTAGCTTTGCCTTTACTCAATCTTCGGTTCACGTCGCCCATATCCACGGAACGTCTACCGGACTCCCTCGACATTTTAATATTTATTTTTTTGATATTAAAATAATATATTATTTTTGGAAAAATTAAAAAAATTTCGAAATTTTATATATTAAAATTTCGAAAATTTCAATAAATAATAGAGAATATATTTAAAATATAAATTATATATTTTTTGATATTAAAGATATATTAAATTTCGAAATTTTCAAATAATTTCGAAATTTTATATATTAAAATATAATATATTTAAAAAAGATAGATAATAATTAAGTAATTAAGAATGATTGATAAGAATTAAGAAATTAAGAATGATAGATTGAGATTTGAGAGAATGAGAGATGGATAATGGATTGAGTATTTGAGAATTGAAATTTTGAGTGTGATATTTTATGAAAAAAGGGGGTATTTATAAATTTTTTTAGGTCTTCCCCTCACCTCCCCAATCCCCATCCCCCCTCCCCCCCTAGGCTCTAACGGCTCAAAGAGCCATTGATTGAGGCCGGCCCCCCCCACTGACTTTTCTTTCTTTTCTTTTGCAGGTTTCCGTTGGGCGCAGGAGCAAGAAAAAGAAGAAGAAAAAAAATAACCGGTCCGGCACTGGTACCGGTACCGGCGGTGCCGGTGACGTAAATTGGGAACCGGACAAGGTACCGGTTGAGGCGGTACCGGTACCGGTTCCCGAAACCGGTAGATCGTCTCCGGTGACGGTGACGGTACTTGGTACCGCCGGTACCGGTGACGGTACCGCACCGGTACCGTGTCCAAGCCTATTATAACAAGAAACGTATAATTTACTTATAAATCAAAAGTGGAGTATTGTTTGGGAATTGGGAAAGAAGATAGTATACTCCATAAATCCTAGAACGTTCTTCTCAGTTACTATTCGTACGGTAAATTTTAAATATTTTCTTTAGTTATTTGATAAAATAATATAGTCTTGTTAAATTAAGAATTTTAGATATAGATTTTAAATATATAAATATATTCTTTAATTTTATAAGTACAATCAAATAAATTGGATTGAAAATAAAATTAAATGAAGAAGAATGAATGTTTTAATTTTGTTTGATAGTCAAAGAAAGAAAAGTGTGTGGACAACATAAGAGTGGAGGTTGGGGTAGGGGAAGGAGGGAATAGCGCAATCGGCAGAATCGGATCGGAGGGAGATTGGGAGGGAGGGAGAGAATGAGGCTGCGGCACGCAATGGTGTGCTCATCGAATCAGAATCGGAGCATGGAGGCCCATTGCCTGCTCAAGAGGGAGGGTTTCAACGTCTCCTCCTACGGCACTGGTCAGCACGTTAAGCTCCCTGGTCCTTCCCTCAGAGAACCCAACGTCTATGACTTCGGCACCCCCTATAAGCTCATGTTCGATGAACTCCGCCGCAAAGACCCCGAACTGTATTTCTCTTTCCCCTTCCTTCCTCCTTTGATTTTCTATGCCTGTGAAACTGTTCTTTGAGAAGAACAAGAAAAAAAAACTCTCTTTGTTTTAGGGGTTTGTTAGGCATTCACTTTCCTGACTGCCTTTTTTTGGAGTTATTGATAAAAAAATTTACAACCCTTTTTCGAGCCAATTCTTTAAATTTCAGTCTTGGAATATGATTCTGTACTTTAGTTGCTAGTTAATCAAGTTGGACTGTTAAGAACAATTGCCTTGCAGGTACAAGAGGAATGGGATTCTGCCGATGCTCAAAAGGAATTTGGGCGTGAAGCATGCCCCTCAACGCTGGCAGGACAATGCTGATGACGGGCCTTTTGATGTGGTGATTTCGTTTGAAGAGAAGGTTTTCGATATGGTGATTGAAGGTCGGTTTTGCTTGTAAAGCATTGTCTTTTATTTATACAAAATAATTAGCGCTTTAAATTTGATGCCGATTAAATTGGGATTTAGGTGATGAATGATTTCCATATGCCGTTGCATATGTTTCTTTGCTTCTCTATTAATCAATGCCCAACAATTGTTCACCACTCCCCTTTCCTGTTTGGGTATTGATCACACGACCTATTTTTTAGTTTTTTTGGCTTATGATTGGATGTGTTTTATCTACTGATAACCGATGAGTAACATTGTGGCTGTTTTTCTTATAGAGCACTCCATTTTTTCCCCAATGAAAATAAAAATATGAACATTCTTGAGTTCATACATTGTCTTTATTAATGTAATTGGTGAAGTGATGGTTTAAAATGATGTGATCATATGAAAGGTGGTGCCTAAATATGTGAGGTGACAATGCATACTTGCTTATGCCTTAGATGGGATGTAGTACATTGGGGAAAGATCCAAGTTTAAGATGTAACGATAGTTGTTGCTTTACATAAGTGGGGTGGTAGTTTGAGGTTTAGGATAGGGCTGGATGTGAAACAGAAACAACACCATACCAAACGCTCCCTTATGCTTTCCAGTAAACATTTTTAATGTTGAATTCTTTTTTTTTTTTACGTCTCAAGGACACCTGAAAGTGCAGAAATTTGTATTGAGCCTTTTTGAAAGTTTGCAAATTGCCATGGTCTTCTCAACAGTTTTGTTTTTCTTGCTGTTGTTTTTACTTGTTAATTGTTTTTTTTAAGTGTGTGCAGATCTCCATAACCGTGATCAACCTCTCAAGAAGCCTGTTCTAGCAATCAACTTGGAAGTGAAAGATAACCACGAGGAGGCAGCAATAGGCGGTCGCCTTGCTTTAACATTGTGCCAGGAGGTACGCATCCCTCTTGCCATGAGAAATCACTGTTCATACTGTCTTAGCTTCCAGTTGCATATGTGTATCCTGTATTATAAGATGGCATACACCACCACAAACAAACCCAGGATAATCTCAACTATGTTGGGGTGGGGGAGTCAAGATTTGTGCAACCCTACCCTGTGTACTTTATGAGATATGTTACTTTCGTTAGACCCTTGACGCACTTACTAGTACTTCCCAAAACTTCATACAGAATAAGAAGCAAAAGAAGTTTAGTTTGTCATTTCAATACAACATTAATCCCAGTAAAATCCCACAAGAATCGGGTTTGGGGAGGGGGTGTGTATACGCAGACCTTACTCCTACTTGGTAGTAGAGAGACTGTTTCTCAGAGCCCGGCTCAAACACAGAACCGCAAACAAACTAAGTAAACAGAGTAACACAAGCAAACTAAGAACGCAGACAATAGCCATCTTGATCTAGTCGATTTTTAACGAATAGGTAAAACACTTGTCAAAAAATGACTTGTTTAGCTCCATAACTCCATTAGCTCCCAAAACTTCATATGAAATTATAGGACAACTTTTTTTATTTGCTGAGTATTTGGATGGTTTTTGCAGATTGAAGCTGTTGAAAGTTGGGAGGACGCAATTGATAATATCATCAACAATTTTGAGAGAAAGAATCGTAGGAAGCTCCTCTATAGCATCTCATATTATTGACACCAATGATGTACAGCAACATCCATGTCTCGAACATTACACCGTGATGTTATGCCCATTCACGAAGTAGATCCCATCGACGTTGTCCACAAAGCGATGCTTATAAGGACTGCAAAAAGAGTAAGCTGCCCATCAATCGTCTGGAGGATTGGTGGAGGGTTCTTGATCCGTGAAAAAAAAAGTGCTGATTGAATTTCTAAAACTGCGAAGCTCGTGTAAAACATCTTGGGCGCGTTTGTTGTGCATGTGGCATATTGATCACACAGTCCATGCCTGTGCTAACTCCATCCCTTTTCTACTCAGAGGTTGTTTGGGAATAATTTTTGAGCTTTTACTTCTTCAAAATAGAGTTTTGAGTCTTTGACAATCTTGTATTCTTGTTAAGTTTATAGATCCTGGCTTAAGAAGTGTAACTTACGTGCTTAAAGTGGTGTTCTGCAAACTTAGGAATAACTGTTTTCCGCTGTTGATTTAGCATTTTTGTTTTTCCAAGAGGAAGAACTTACTTATATAAGAGTCTACATTGTCATCATCATAAACAGGAAACTACTACATTGCCATCAGTCACCACTGCCACCTGCCAGTGTCGCTTGTCGCCATGAGATTGTCGGAGTATCGTCGTCTGCCATTGTAGGTCGTCGGAGCATCGCCGCAGGTCGCTGGAGTTGACCAGTGGTCCACTATCGTAAAACCATCTCACTCCAACACCATATTGCTACTCATCACATTATCACAATGTCACCACATCGCCATCAAATTATTTATTTTGGTTTTCATGTCATTTTGTTTTTATCTAGAGATTTTTTTCAAAATGTGTTCAACTAGACATTTTCTGTTGCTTTACTAAGCAATTCTTTTAAAAATGAATTAGTCCGTGCTCACATAATTTGAAATTGGAATGTAAAAATTATAATGAAATCTAGATTTCCAAATAAATAATTTGGAAATAGGAAGTACTCCTATTCCAAATTAAGTTATATGCTTATTATTTACTAGATCATACTCTATCAGTTTCTTTTTCAATTTTTTTTATTCAATAAAATAATATGGTCATATCACTTCTTATTTCTGTATATTTTTTGATGTAATTTTTTTAATATGTAAAGGAAAAAAAGCTAAACTAAGAACAAAACACGGAGAAAGTATTAAAAATAGAAGCTCTATATTTTTTATCTTTAAATTAGGAGTTCAATGCGAATAGAACCAATATGTAATACCAAAAAATTATATTTTAAACTTATATTTTAAAGAGAAATGTTATGTGTAACTCTCATTTGGCCTAATTTTCAAATAAATATTAGTATTAAAAATAATTTAGCTTACCAAACACGTCGTGTCGTGGAGGTGAACGCCAATTGAATTCGATGAACCCCAAAGCTTCAAACTCTACTGCTTGCAATCGAAGAAGTGGGGAACGCCAAAGGCAAGCACGCACCATCACATCATCGTCGTTTAACTCTGCCCCAAATTGATCAAACCAGACAACTTCATCGCTCGGGCCATAGTGTTTTTGTTCGTATCAACTGCATTTCATCTGAGTTCTGTTCAACGCCTTCAATGGCTTTTCAGAGCAAGAAACTGATCAACGACCCAAATGGTAATTGGTTTCGCTGGCATTACTCCACCGCTCCCTCTTGGTTTCTTTCGAAGTGTACCGATTCTTCACACTAAAAATTTAGCCAATAAGATCTGTATGAAGCCATTTATTTAAGCATAATTATTAGTATCACCTTCTTAACGTGAATTCTTAGCAGTGCTATTTTCCGATATGTTGCTCTCTTTGCCCCTGTGTTAGAGAATGCGAAGTATAACTTTTCCTTTTTCCTATGAGAGAGTGCATAAACATAGTAGCTTTGCAATCTCGGTAGGCGTCAAGTTAAAACAGCAATCACTTAGCTTGCTAGAGCCATTCAATTTCTTTCTTCTACCTGCTTATTTCTTAATTTAAGCATTTAAAACTCATCGGCCGAAAGAAAGTATATAGTTGTGTATTGCTTCTGCCTGTGTCTTTTGCAAAAGTGGTTGAACAAACTCTATTGGTATGGCACTAAATCCCATATCCTCACATAGATTTGTCTATGCATACGAGCACCACTGTAATTATGTTCTAAAATAACATTCAAGCCACTTATGTTTAATTATCTAGCTTCAATTCCACTCATGGACACTGGACAATGGACATGTGTACTGGAAAATGAAATGTTGTTTAACGATCAGACTGGGAATATATTGGTTCGCTTGAAATTTTGAATTGTCTCCAACTTTACTAAATTCTTCTTGAATTTTACAGACGTTGTGAGGGAGTTCATTGAGGGTCTTGCGGAGACATATCCTGGGTTGCAGTATTTGGATGGGTTTCCTGATGTGAGATGTGTTTTTTTCTTGCAATTTTTGTTTTGTTTTTGTGACCGTGTTTTCATTGTTATTGTTATAATATTGGTCCTCTTGGAATGGTATATAAGTTACATCTCTTGCTTGCTTGCCAATATAGGTTAAGGTTGTCTTGCGTGCTGATGTTTTGGGTGCAAAATGCGACACGGTTGCCGTTATATCAGGTATTTATGTACATTGAATGTTCACTATGTTTGTTTAGTGTGTGAGTTAACGTGGAGTTTAGCATGTATTAGCACCCAAGGTTTGAACATAAAATGAATGATAAATATAATTGGTATAAAACAAGTTTTTGGCCTTGAGCAGAAATTACGGAGTATAATTATAAGAAAATTAAGTTTTTATGACAAATAATCCAGGGACATAGGAACACATGCAAACTATAAGGCACACACAGTTTTCATTTTCTTAAATCCCTGGCAATAATTTAGGGGCATGGGGAGTACAAATATTTATTAATTACCTCTGTTCCAAAAATAAGTTCTTATTTCCTTTTTCATTCATTTTAACTTTTAAGAAGAGGTGAAATTGTGTAGTTCAGGTTTATGTAGGTGGAACTTGAGAACCATTCAGTGCTAACCTTAAAAGGAATAATAACTTTATTTTGGGACTAAGGGCATCTTTGAGGCTTGTTGGTTGGATTTGGTTGGAATAATCTAAGTACGTCTCTTAAGGTTAAAATCCATACAATTCCGAAGTAATCCACCGCTTACGTAATCAATTAGAATATGTAGGGATCTGTGGACACTGAAAATATGTGGAATGCACAGAATTCCAGATTGAGGACACCTGAAGTATGTGAAACTTGCATAATTTTAAATTAAGATTGCGTGGATTTATATGGAGTTTTGAATTCCATTGAATTTCACAAGCAAGGACACCATTTCCTTATGAAGGAAGCCTTGCATCATTTCCTTCCACCTTTACTGAATCATTGCAAGAAAGTGCATTGATGAATGTGAGATCTTCTATTTCCAATCAAATCTTTTGTGATATTTTGATAACACCACTAACAATAGTGACCAGAACAACATATGAACCTGAAAATGATAAGATGTCATTCTGACATATTTTTCCAAATCATGAAATACATTCCTATTCCATTTAATTCAAATGTTCTGAATTGGGGTTTTCTTTTGATTATTATGTGATATAGGAGGTGGAAGTGGCCACGAGCCTGCTCATGCTGGATTTGTTGGGCAAGGGATGTTGACAGCAGCTATATGTGGAGATGTTTTTGCCTCTCCAAATGTTGAAGCCATTCTTTCTGTACGATAAACACTCCCAATGTATTTACTCAATGATCTGTATGTTATTGATTTTGATACTTTCAAACTAGCTGCATTCTACTCTAGGGTATACGAGCTGTTACTGGTGCTAAGGGATGCCTCTTAATTGTCAAGGTACCCATCTCAAAAGTTTACCATTTACTATCTGTTTGCTTGGCTATAACATTTGTATGCCTAAACTAAAAAAATGTAAGCTTAGTAATGTTATTTTATCTTTCATTCAGGTAAATTTAAGAGGCTCTTTGGTTGAAAATAAAACCCATGAAATAATGTCTGAATTTGAAAATAGTAAACATTATTTCAAACTGAAGATGTTCTCTAAATTTCCATCTGTTAATGAGAAGCAATTTCTTTTTTATTTTCGAAATGACCAAATCCAAAATGAATGCTTTGCCACTTTTAAGTTATGACCACAGCTAGTCAACTATTGCCGACTTCTACCCAACCAACTTAAATTACTCACAGTACACAATTTAAACCGATGTAATCCAGAACCCAACTTCATATGACTGTTCTAAAGTGACTCAGCCTGACTCTTAAACACTCAAAGGTTTTACATATCCAATGTTATTATGAGTTTTGTCATACTCTTAACTAAAAGTAACAATGTGACAACCTGATAGATGATACTCCCTCCGTCCAGATTTACATTTGTATTGTAAATGCAGAAGACTGATTATAATGTTTTAGAAACATGAACAAGCACATAGTTTCCATGATAAAACATGTGGACCTTTTGAGTCCTAAGAAAGTGTTATTAGATCTACTTGAGTAATAATTGTTTACTATTTTTTAGTATTTTTTTGGTTCTGTGTAGAATTATACTGGTGATCGCTTGAATTTTGGTTTGGCTGCGGAGCAAGCAAAATCTGAAGGCTATGCAGTAGAGGTATATTGCAATAGTCTGCCTCCAATAAGCAGATACCATTTCTTATTTTTCCCTGAATAAGGAGATACTTCACCTATCTTTCTAAAACAATTACAAGTTGATCCCATTTCTTATTTTACATATTAAATAAGATTCAATCTTGTTACAAAATTAGTGGTTTATCATAACAAACATTGCCTTGGTGTAATAAGATACAGCACTGCATTATACTTAATGTCTTAATGGACTCAAATACTCAATTACTTTCTATGCTAGTGAGATGATTTTTAACAAGTCATGTGTTAATGTATCTTTTACTAATCAATGAGACACGATTCTAATGTTTCAATTATCACTATTTTGTTTTATACACGCTAGAATGATCCGTGTAATTTCTGATTTACTTGGAACATCTGGTTTTGCCTCTTTTTGTTGGACGTTTCTTATTTTATACTCCCTCCCTCCCCAATTAATCTTCACTCTTTTGCCTCTTTTTGTTGTCACCTCTTGTTTTATAGAACTTTTGAATTTTGATGTAGTTTTTAAATATATAAGTTTTGTTTTTAAATTTTACCTCAATTTTTTTTTGAAACAATTTTACCTCAAATTTTAAATAAATTGAATTGAAAATAAGTTCAATCAACCATTGTAATTCGCAACGTCCAAATTATATGGATACAGAGGGAGTATTGTTTGTGCAACATGCACAAGTATTTTGATAAATTAAAAGCAAATGGATACCCCCTTTCAATTAATTTTGCACTTGCCTTTTTTTCATGCCAAAAGAACTACACATTTTCACATCCCTTTTATAGAAAGGAAATTGTGACTTGTAAGTTTACTCTTTCTTCTATAGTAATGCCACCCTTTTACTTTTCAACACTTTTCTTGAACTCCGTGAAGTCAAACAATAAACTTAATTACGAGATGGATGAAGTATTTTTTTGTTTGATAATAGTTTGTGATGTACTAACACCATTCTTATGGCTAATAGATGGTTATTGTTGAAGATGATTGTGCTTTACCACCTCCAAGGGGAGTTGCCGGACGAAGAGGTTTGGCCGGAACAATTCTTGTTCATAAGGTTGGCTGTCTTTCTCATGCCCATGATTGTAGAGCTTATTATAATTACCCACTCATCTGGAATTTGGCAACATAAGATTTTTTTTCACAGTGACATCATTTAAGAACTTTTCAGTTAATATTTGGGAAATTCTGTCATGTCATGTACTCTGTAAATCAGCATGGTTTCAAGTTTTTCTTAAGCGACAGCCTTCTGAAAAGATAATATATTGTGGCTGTAACTTAACTGCTAGGTATCATAGCCAAAAATACCTTGTCTCTGTGCCACAGTAATATTCCATGTGATTATGGTTTCAACTGATTGGTACTTGTTACCTCTTTTCAGTCTTTTGTTCTTTTCCCTTCCAAGTTAAGAAGCCAGAGTAACTTTCTCTTTTGCTTTCCAAATTTGAAGATTGAACATAATACGTCAGTGTGTGATGTAGCAATATTCAAAGTGCATTTTCTGTCTACGATTTTTCAATTGCATAAAAAAAGGCCTGGTTCAACAGAAAGTGGAACTCTGGTCCATATTAATGATGTAAGCAAACTGAAGAAGACTCTCCAATGCAATTGAAACATTAAATAGTGTTATTATAGGCGATACACACAAACAGGCACAAAGGTGTATCCTTGGCATGCACCTAGATGAGAATTTTTAGAATAATAAGTATCAAGTTCATACAGTTATTGTATTTCTAGCACAAGATTCAATCATTCTTGTTATCAGCTTTGATGTTTGACCATAGTATAATCCTTTCACAATCCCTTTTTGGATGTAATTTTTTCGTAAATTAACCCTAGCACTTATACTTTAGGGTGGAGGCTGGGAGGGATTTTTTTGCAGTTAGGCAAATCTCTAATGACTAATTATCATCTGATTTGAAATGTTACAATACTCAATTTCATATTTGATGTGGTTACTTAGTTTTGATTGTTCCCGCAAGTAGTCATTACCTGCTCAGGTTAAAATTTATGACATTTTTTAATGCCTTTGTTCTTGGCTTCCTTTCTATTCATCACAGGTTGCAGGAGCTGCAGCTGCTTCTGGTCTACCACTTGCTGACGTTGCTGGTGAAGCAAAACGTGCTGCAGAAATGGTGGGAACAATGGGTGTTGCATTGTCTGTTTGCACATTGCCTGGTCAGGTTGCTTCAGACCGCTTAGGACCTGGAAAAATGGAGCTTGGCCTTGGAATCGTAAATCTCTGATACAGTTGTTTCACTTGCTTGATGCTAAGACCTTACAAAGTTCATCCAAATCATGCTTGTTTTACATCCCTAGTACATTCTTTACATAGTTGTGAATGGCGCTCGCCATTCTCGCCTAAGGCGCCTATGGCTGTGTGGCGACCATGTGACGCCATCTTCAAACCTAGCGAGGCGTTTTACGCCATTCTCGCCAATGGCGGTCGCCATGGACGCCAGACTCTGAGTCGAAAGGGGTTCGCCATCTACGCCAGACGCAGGTCAAGGGTTTTTTTAATTAAAAACCTTTACTTTTTTTATAAACGCACTGACCTATATCTCGATCGAAACACTTCATCGATTCAACTGCCTCGCCTCTGCCTCTGCCCTCTCGCCGTCAATCGAATTACTCCCAGCCCGACGCAGGCTCCTGCCCTCCTCAAGTTCTCCTCAGCCGGCGCAGCCCCTCCTCTCTCTCCCGAGTCCGAACAACGCACATCTTCGTAGACTCAGAGCGGGCGCAAGTAAAGTCCAGACTCCACACTTCGCAGGTCACACTCAGACTTTTTTTTGTTTTCTACCTTTCTTATTGTTTTTTTGAATGGTTATTGTTTCTTTATTGTCTTTATATTATTAATTTCTTATAGATATAATTTATTGTCTTTATTTTCGCTATTTTCTACTTTTTTTTGTTTTCTACTTTTCTTATTGTTTTTTTTTGTTTTTTGTTTTAACTTTTACCAATAACTCATGTTTTACTTTGATAATTATGTTTGATACAGAGTTAAGACTAAAAGTTTAGACTTAAACAATATATATATATATATATATATATATATATATATATATTTATTTATTTATTTATAAAATGTTCGCCATTTGACCGCCCGCCGCTCGCCACGCTTCTCGCCATAAAAAAGAACTTCTCACCCGCCACTCGCCATTCGCCATTCACAACTATGATTCTTTATCATGCTTCATGGGGTGGGATAAAAACAATCAGATCTGGGAGGTTCTTGCACTGAAAATCTGGAAATTTGAGTGAAATGTGTTTCAAGAACTTTTAGTTTTGTGGTACTCTGACTTCCTATAATATTATGGGTGGCTGTTTATGAACTCGTAAGGCAGTTAGATATTGGGAACCCCTTTGTGAGATTCATTGTAATTTGTAAAGTCAACCTTTGATAGATTGAATGAGGAAAACCCTGACTTCATAAAGTTGACTTGCCTCGCATTTTGACAGCATGGAGAACCAGGTGCTGCTGTAGCCGATCTTCAGCCTGTAGATGTTATTGTTTCTCATGTTTTGAAGCAGATTTTGTCACCGGTATGTGGATAAAGTTAGCTTGCGACATATAGGATGAACCATGTAAAAATAATTACAATTATATGTGTTGCAATATATATGATGAATCATTGGATTTAAAAGAGTCATTTTTACAATGTTTTAGCTTGGGGTAAGTAATATAGAAACTCAAAATGGCATATTAAACTTCCCTTGCTTCTTATTTTCTAATTTCTGTGAAGTTTTTGGAAGTAAACGCAGCAATGCATCAAGATTCTAACCAAAACAATACCTCTGTTTTGTACTAAACAAAGTTGGGACTATATTAGGTTCATTGTTGTTGTTGTTGTTGTTGTGCGGTTGCCGTAGCATTGTTCTAATTAGACAGTAGATTTTGTGGTAACACATGGAAAAGTTTATTTCTGTTATTGACACATATTAGTATAATCATCAGTCCAATGAATGTTGCATAGTTGGTGTCCTTCAAATAGGAAACTAACCAATTCCTCTATTTGGGTAACTTATATGATGATATCAATGGGAAACTAGTCTAAGTCTGTCATATCCTTACTTTAGTGGGAAATAAATACTTCAAGTTTTAAATATTTCCACAAGAACAAATGGTAACTTTGCAAGCATTATGCATTCTTTTATAAACATGTTTTCTCTAAGAAAACTATTTTTCTAGAGGTTACATATTTATTTGAGTTTATCCTTAATTTTACAAAATTATTGGCTTGGATATGATCATAACCATCTGTTTCATTTGATATCCATTTCAAAATAAATTTGTGTCATCCTTCTCACTATTTATTTTTGGCTATGGCCCCTTGTCACTTACAATGGAAAATTTACTTGGCTTTGCAGGAAACCAACTATGTCCCAATCACACGCGGGAATAGAGTTGTTCTCATGGTTAATGGGTAAGTTTGTGGGAATTTCTCTAAGCTCCAACCTCCTCTCACCTCATTTTCTCTTTGTGTGCTCTTTTTTGAAATTTGTTTTGTTAGTCTTTTAGCACAGTTTTTCCTTTTGTTTCTTTCACGAGGAGGGGGGGGGGGGATGAATTAAACTCTCTAAATGTCAAATGCAAAATTGAATTTGGGCTTAGTATTTTGGACATTTTGCATAATGTTGACTAATTTTGACTGTTTACTAGCCATCATGCCCAGTACATGAAATGACATACTCCGTATCACTTTGCTTAAAGTGTAAGAAAATGTAACAATCTTATTCACAAACTTAAAACATATGAGGTGGCTAGGAGATTCACTTCCTCTTATTTGTGATGTTGCAGAAGTTATATTACATTTTATTACTAAATTCCCATGCACAGATCTTAAAAATTGAACCCCACTTTGAAACATATCAAGACACCAAATTATTATCCAATGATGATTTTAATTATTTACTTCATAGTTTGGCTGTTAAACCTTTCTGTGAAAAATCATGTTTTGTCAATTGGGATGGAAGGAGCAGTATTTGTAAACGTTACATGAGAATCACTGATGCTCCAACTTCTTACTCTTTTTGCTACAGATTAGGTGCTACACCATCCATGGAATTGATGATTGCTGCTGGAAAGGCTGTCCCCAGATTGCAGTTGGAACATGGACTTGCTGTAGAGAGAGTGTATACTGGATCATTTATGACTTCTCTTGATATGGCTGGTCTGACATATTTCTTTGGACTCTGGAGTGTGGATCTGTCAGGCTACGTTTTGCTCATTGTACCATGTATTGTGCAGGATTTTCAATTTCTGTAATGAAGGCAGATCAAGCAATTTTGGACTGGTTGGATGCTCCTACTAAGGCCCCATACTGGCCTGTTGGTGTTGATGGTTAGTCTGGTCTAAATTTGTGTGTTTATAAATGTGTATGTGATATTCTGTCACAATAGCTAATCCACTGTAATCCCACAAATGGGTCTGAGAGCATTCTGTGTAATTGCAGCTATTCCTTCACACACACACACACACACAGTCATGGTGTTATACTCCTTATGTCTCACTATCCCATTCCACTATGTTTGTCCCATTTGATATTTAGTAATATCTATGTGGTTCACATTCATTCTTAGTTTCTTACTCTTTATCATCAAAAGCAACCACACAATTCTATATTTAATAATATTTGTGTAATTCACATTTATTCTTACTTTTACTTCCCGTCCCACTATTTTTGGCCATTTTTACCATTTTGCAGGACCAACTATCTTGTCCCTTATCATATTTAGTCATATTTGTGTGCTTCACATTCATTTTTACTTTGTATCATCACTAATCAATTACACAGGTTTACTTCTAATTTTTGTGCCACTCCCTCGTGTCCCAATAATAGTGGGATAGAGGAAGTAGGACTTTAGTTCCTTTTCACCTTTATTGTCCATTTCAATATTTTGGTAACATTTGTATGGTTCACATTCATTCTTATTTTTTAAAATCAATATCTACCACACAATTCTATTTTTTTTATTATAACATTTGCGTCCCGAATATAGTGAGAGTGGGACAGAGGGAGTATTGTTTACCTTTCTATAACATGTATTTGCTATTTTGCTTACAGGTAACCGCCCACCTGCCAAAATACCAGCTCCCCTTCCTCGATCACATCTTATTAAGAGTGATGAGGTAGGTATGTCTGGATTTCTTTCTTGAATTTTTCAACGTTATTAAATGAATAAGTGGATATAAAATAAGAACCCTTTGCGGAGGTGCGAGAGGCTTACGATAGTGGGTGGGGGTGGGGGAAGGGGTAACCCTAGGAAGAATTGTAAGGAAGTGATTAGGTAGGACTTAGGACTTCTTGCCCATACTGAGGAATTAAGGATGAGGACATGACCTTAGATAGGAGCATTTGTAGATCTTGGGTTAGGGTTGCTGGCTAGTCTTTTGGAACGGGAGGTGTTTTTGCTCTTGTCGTTGTGTGCTCTACGCTTAGTGTTGTAGTTGTCTGTATGCATTTTTGTCTCATTATTTGTGATATGTGTTTCTTTGTTACTAGAACTGGGGATATCTTGGAAATAGTTTCTCTACTTTCAAGTAGGGGTAAGGTATGTCTACACACACCCTCCCTAGACCCTACTTATGTTGGATTCTACTGGGCTGTTGTTTATATTGTATCACCTATTCATAAGATAATACGAAGCATGTAACTTAAAGGTTAGTTTCTTAAAAAATAATCAGTAATCAGCTTAAAAGGTGGTTTTGTCAAGCAAAACTCCATATAAATGGTGATTTCTTAAAAAAGTTCTTTTAAAAAGGTTGTTTCTTAAAAGAAACCAAACATAAAAGGTGGGTTATTTAATACAATTATTTTGAAAGGTGGTTTCTTTAAAGTTCAAATCATAACAGGTGGTGTCTCTCAAGATTTTCAATAATGAAACTACTTTTGTCATTTCGTCATCAATATAAAAACTGAATTTTTTGGCTTTGGCATCTTAGAGAAAAAATTGTTATAATTTTGCACAAATTTCTGAAATTACCTTCATGTGTGACCTGAGGTTGTATACAATTCGAAGCAATTGAAATTGAATATAACAACTAGAAAGAACAAAGCACAAGCCAATGAGAAAAATTAAAATAACTCACTCCGCCACAAAATAAATTTCACTTTCCTTTTTTGGTTGCCCCAAATTAAAATTCAAAGTTTTTTGTATTTAAGAAAGAAATATGTGGCTCACAAGTTTATCTCTCCTCTCATTAAGTTTCAACTACTTATTTTTTTACCTTAACACTTCTCAAACTTCGTGGGTACATACAGAAATGAAAACGTTAAGGAAGGTAACTCAACACCCCTAGTTGTATTCTAGAAACAAGTTGAGGCTTTAGCAACCCACACATATTAAAAGAACAAATTATAGTAACATCCGGATGTGTGTACAACCATGACATTTTGTAGTTAATTTGACAACATGCTAATTCCATTTAATCTTATCATATTTCTATTTTTATTCTGTTTGTTCTTCTTGTAAAGAACTTGTTTTGTTGTGGAGAAAGCTCCTTTTGCTTTTAAAGAAATAAAAGAATGCTCATTGTCATATGTTGTTAAGAATGGTTAATTACTAATTGGTTTAACTGAAGTGTAAATACCATTTGATTTACATAACTCAAAATTTTCCTTTTTTGCCTTACAGACGTGCTAAATACTGAATACATCTTCAGTGTAATTGATACTTTTTTATTTCCTCTTTTCATTAGGCACTGAGCCGGCCCAAAAAACTTACAGCTGAAGGTCATATTCTTGAGTCAGCTATCGAAGCGGCCACAAATGCTGTTTTAAACCTTCGAGATTATTTGAATGAATTGGATAGTAAAGTTGGTGATGGGGATTGTGGATCAACTGTATGTAGCTTGATGTTCTTTTTATTTCACCAAAGTTCTTCACCTATTATTGCCTTGGGTGTAAACTGATCATCTCAGTACACTACAGATGTATCGAGGTGCGATGGCCATACTTGAAGACTTGAAGAAGTAGTAAGTTTTCTTCCCTTGCTCCCTTCTTTCCACCGTCACACAAACACCAAAAAGGCTAGCTCATACTTAACCAGTTATTTCCTTTCCTCTTTTACTTCACGGAAATGTAAGAAATTTCATGCCCTCACTGTCACTTCAATTATAGTCTGTAAAAACTGTTCTTCACTTTCCTAAAAAAATTGCACCTTCTCAAGCTTGCATTTATATTGATCTTGTTTTGTACTCCCTCCATTCCCACTAAGTTTTGGACAAGGCAAAGAGGCACAAAAATTCAAAAGTAATATTGTGTTGTTGATATTGACTATGTAAAGAAATGATGAAGTATTGATTATTTCGAACCACATAAATCTGGCACATATGCCATGAGACATTTTTTCAAAGAGGCACAAAAAAATCAAAAGTAATATTGTGTTGTTGATATTGACTATGTAAAGAAATGATGAAGTATTGATTATTTCGAACCACATAAACCTGGCACATATGCCATGAGACATTTTTTCAGATGGACCAAAATATTAAAATTTATAATGGGACAAAGATAGTGGGGCGGAGGGAGCAGCTTATTTCTTTACTCGAACTAATTTTAATGCCTAATTTTATCTTTGCAAGAATTTACTTGATATCATTATGATTATGTGTTTTCAGTTATCCTCTCAACGACCCAGCAGAAACTGTAAATGAAATCGGATCAACTATTGAAAGAGTCATGGGAGGAACAAGTGGTATCATGTATAGTGTATTCTTTACTTGACTACATGGATGGACACATTTTCCCTTATAGAGTGGGTTTTCAAATAGAATACCTCATGAAAGTGTCTTTTGTTTACAGTTACAGTATTTTATGCAAGGCAGCATACGTGAGCTTGAAGGCAGAGATTCAGGCAGGATGCTCTGCAGTGCACTGTAAGAATAGTATTGTTTAAAAATTTCTCAGCTTGCTCAGGTTTTGAATTTACTCTTGTTACCAAGCGGTTCTGTGGGAACAGGGGCTGATGCACTTCAAGCTGGCATTGCTGCTGTAAGTAGATATGGGGGAGCTCGAGCAGGTTACCGAACACTGTTAGATGCTCTTGTTCCAGCTGCCTCAACTCTGAAGGAGGTTATCATCGTTATTCAACTTCATATGCACACATATTACATATACATATACAATGGGCTAAATTGGTTTATCTAGGGTTACACTTGATACGTCCCTTCAGTTTGGAGTATATGTACAAAAACTCAACAGCAGCAACCTAGTATTTACTATGAGGCAAATGATTGTTTGGGCTTGTAGGGAATTACAAGATTAGGTCTGCTAGCTGTGGTAAGTTACTGGGTTGAGTATCAGGATGACTGGTTACAACCTGGTCTGAGATTTCGGGCCATGTTATGCCTAATATCACTACAACGTTTGGAAACAATCTCTTTAGTTTTTAGCCTTTATATACTCTCCCCAAATACCACTTGTGGGATTTACCGGGTTGTTTTTGTTGTGTTTAATATCACCACAATATTCATTAATGCATGCACGGCGTATTATCACCCGCCTGGACTGCATGAATAGGCCTCAACTTCAACCATTTTACGTTCTTACTTGCACACTAGAATTATCCTTTAAGCAACTAAAGCAATTCCATTCTCCTTTCAGTCATTTTTCATTATCTACACATGCTAATGCTTAGAATAACATGATACGTTAGGCTAACATATGGTTGTGTTTTGTGAACAGAGGTTGAATGCTGGGGATAACTCTACTGAAGCTTTCATAGCTTCTGCTGATGCAGCTGTAAGTGGAGCGGAGTCAACCAAGAACATGCAGGCTCAGGTGACTTTGTAGCCACGTTTCTTCTCCATTTTGGCTCAGTTTGTTTATAGGAAAATATATTCTGGTTTCCCCATGCATGGCGTAGGCTGGGAAAACATTCCTGTTCCAAACATGGAGAAAACCGAATTACTTCTGGGAAAATGTTTCCTGTAAACAAATGGAGCTTTAGTGTCCATTTGGCAATAATTTCAATGTTTATTCTTAGCATATTCAACATTTTTCCCTAGCACTAAAAAGTTATCCAAAACAAAATGCTGACATTATTTGAAAATGATATTCCCAAACAAGGCTTTAGTATCAAAACTATCACATGCTTTCTAAAATTTCGCCCCCCTTATGAAATATAACACAATATTCAAAGAAAATGAGTATATATCTACATGACTACATGTAACCTTTTTGCAAATGTCGATGAGTTGGCAGGCTGGTCGATCAACATACATCCCTGCTGAGATTCTTGCATCAGTTCCCGACCCAGGCGCCATGGCTGCAGCTGCATGGTACAGAGCAGCAATTCTTGCTATTGCGGACCCACGTGAGTCGGCATGAGTTTAATATAAATTTTCTACCTTAGAACTAATTTGGGTATTGATATTGAAACCTATGTACATCAACTGATTGGCTTTCCGCGTGTGCCGTCCTGGTGCATAAAGCTGAGAAAGAGGTTCATTTGTACATGAAACATAGAACACCAAAATTTATAAGGCACATTTCGGACTAATATCAGTAATGCAAATTTACATATTTACAATCTACACTAGAAAAGTAGTATAAAATTGCATCAAAAGAGAAGTAACAAGAGTTGAGTTAAAATTGACAAATGATGGGAATGAGGTAGTGTAATTTTGTGGTGCAATTTGTGATAATGTGATCCGTGGAACCTTAAAATACACCTTTCGAGTTTGGGTTTTCCTCGGAGATTTTGTCCTAAAAACAACTGGCGTTTGAAATGGTGAGGTTATCACGTATATTCACCAAAAACAATTGTGATTAGTTAAATCTAAATCTAATTCATGAAAAGAGATTTTGAAAAGGGTAAAGTTTTAATAAAAATTTAAAATTGATACTATTAGAGCACTGGGTATACTTGTAATGCCGACCGGTGTTTAGCATCCCCGCGTCATTGGTTTGACGCTGTAATCCCCCCTAATGGCTATTATAGCCGTTGAAACAAAAAAAAGAAAATTTAATTATTTTTTTTTATAAATTTCAAATTCCCCCTCACCATTCTCACACCTTCAATTTTCTTCAATCTTCTTCACATATTCTTCAATTCTCCAATTCTCTAACTCTCTTTTGAACATGAATCTTTCTGGCTCCGGCTTCTTCCCTAATGATCTCGAGCCTCACGAGTCCGCGATGTGGTATTTCCAATAATACGGGAATCATCTGCCGATGTTCGAGATGCAACAATCGGGGTATGTCGAGCGAGATTTGGTTCCGGAGACTCAACCCATTTCCACTGAATCTGTGAGGTAAGTTAAAGCTGATGTGGCAGAAAGAGAAAATTTTGAAGCCCCGATTTGAAGCTTCGAGGCTTCACGGGTATTTCCAGTGCTCTTAGATACTCTTCTCTTGAAATAAATTTCTCACTTTTCTTATATGCATAGTCCAATTTTTGAGTAAAAAATTGATTTTAAAGTCAACAAAAGTTTAGATGGTGCAATTGGAAGGATGCAGAGGAGCGTAAGAAAGGGTCGGGTTTGTGGGTTTGCCTCGGGGTAGGAACAATTAATTCAAAGGTCGGAGCACTTTAGGTATTATAATTAAATTAGGGTAATAATTTTATGTTAATAAAATGAATTAAGATATTTTTATGTTAAATTCATGTGTCCTTGTCGTTAAAATGTTTCTATTAAAGTGAGTAAATTCCATAATTGATCTTTTATAATAAAATAAATTTTCTATTTAGTTCTCTATTATTAAATATTATTTCGATAGTACTTTTTATGGCTTTCCACACAGTCTTTTTTTGATCTTTTATTATGTTGGTGTTAATTTAAAGGTTATAAGCATAATTTCATATAAGAGCCGGTTCCCATGACATTGGGAATCAATGTCATAGGATGACCTGGGGTGCTCCGGTGCCCCATTTGTAAAATTGACGGTTCTTACCCCCCGATAAACCCATCAACCCGCCCCAACCCCAATACCCCACACCTTCTTCAATTGCACCCCAAGTTAATTATGACTTTGGGGTCAAATTTTGTGAACGGGGCACTGGAGCATCGGCCATGACATTGATTCTCAATGTCATGAGAACAAGCAGATTTCACAATGATAATATATCTTTCTTGTCATACACAATTCCAAACGCTGATCCTGATGCGTTATTTGTGAATTACAATAACTTTCTACTACAATCATGGTCTATAGATATGATCTTTTTGTCAAAATCTTAACTCTTTATCATAGTCATTATTTTTGTATTATCCGTCTAACCAATATCAGAATACATCAATAGACGAAATGTTAATGTCTAATTATATTTTTAGCCTTTAAATTAACATCAATATGACAGAAGATAAAAAAAGATCATTTATGAAAAGACACTCATAAAAGAAGGATTACAAGGATAATATTTAATAATGGAGAACTAAATATGGAAATTCTTCTGTTATAAAGGATCAATTATAAAATTTATTCGATTAAAGTGATTGCTATGGTTATTTTGGGGGGTAAATTTCACAAATGGTACCTGAACTTTAGCTGAAATTTCGAAGTGGTATCTGAACTTCAAATTCTTTCACAAAAATCCCTGAACTTACACAATCTTTTCACTAATGAGCCATTAGCCCGTTTTTAGGTTAACTTCCGGTCATTAGGGCCAAATTCGAATTTTATATATTTTAAAATTTTCAATTTGACCCCATTTCTTCTTTTCTTTTCTTCCACGCCCCGCCGCCGCCGCCCGCCGGTCAAAGTCCCCAGAAAATGAACTTTTTCCGATTCCCGCGGGACCAATCACTCCACTCCGTCGTCATCAATTGACCTCCCTCAATTCCATTCCCCAGATCCACCTCGAGTTCACTGCAGGGATGGCGTCCACGGGCTTGTCTCAACCAATTCAAATGCGACTCCACAACAACAACAACAAGTGTACTGCGGATTTTCCGGCGACAGTCCGGCCGGGCCTTTGCCGTCGTGGTGGAAGAGTAAGCTTGAGAGCGTCGTCGGCGTCGGGGAATCAGACGGCGGAGCCCGACCTGAGTGTGACTGTAAACGGGCTGAAAATGCCCAACCCGTTCGTGATCGGTTCAGGCCCTCCCGGCACCAACTACACCGTTATGAAGAGGGCCTTCGATGAAGGATGGGGCGCTGTCATCGCCAAAACGGTCTGTCTGATTGCATACATTTCTTTGTGTTTTTTTCCACGCTGAAATTGCATACATATACATGATTCAATTTTGATTGTTTAGGTTTCCCTAGATGCTGCAAAAGTTGTGAATGTAACCCCTCGATACGCCAAACTTAGAGCGGCGGGATCAAATAGTTCTACCAGAGGTCAAATCATTGGGTGGCAAAATATTGAACTGATAAGTGATAGGCCTTTGGAAACAATGTTGAAAGAGTTCAAACAGTTGAAAGATGAGTACCCAGACCGGATACTTATTGCCTCTGTCATGGAAGAGTACAACAAAGCTGCCTGGGAGGAACTCATTTATCGGGTTGAGGAGACTGGAATTGTAAGCAACCAAACTTCCCCCCCCCTCCAAATAAAATCATTATTTTTGGGTGACAAATCTTCTTGATCATGATAAAACTGCCCCCTCATTTTTTGCGCAGGATGCCATTGAAGTCAATTTTTCATGTCCTCACGGTATGCCAGAGCGCAAAATGGGTGCTGCTGTTGGGCAAGACTGTGAGCTGTTGGAGGAAGTCTGTGGATGGGTTAATGCTGTGGCTACTGTGCCTGTTTGGGCAAAGATGACACCCAACATCACTGACATTACAAGAGTATTGACTTCTTCATATTGACATCTTTATCATGTTTGTTCCAATGGGCGGGCGGGGGGATTTGTTTAGATATAATCCACAGATACCCTTTATTTTAGTAGTTGTAGTCGTTAATAGTGTTAATATTGTTCCTTTGGGGTGTGCCACAGCCAGCTAAGGTGTCTCTTAATGCGGGATGTGAGGGGGTGGCTGCCATAAATACAATCATGAGCGTCATGGGCATCAATCTGGACACCTTACGCCCCGAGCCTTGTGTTGAAGGGTTAGTATTCAAGACGGAGGAGGAGTGCATCTTTTCTGTTACTATGACCCCTGTTTATTATTATTATTATTATTATTATTATTATTATTTGCCCACTACTGGTTTACCCATTCCTTTCTCTATCATTCGTCTATTTAAAATCTAGATATTCAACTCCCGGAGGCTATTCTGCAAAGGCGGTGCATCCAATTGCTCTTGCAAAAGTAATGAGCATTGCGAAGATGATGAGATCTGAATTTGGGGATGATAAAGAGCATTCGCTATCTGGTATTGGAGGTGTTGAGACTGGTGGTGATGCGGCCGAGTTCATTCTTCTTGGAGCCGATACTGTCCAGGTGTGTGACTTTGTTATTTAGCCCCCATCCAATTCTAATATTGTTCTTGGTAATGTGACCTTGCTGAAAATTTGTTCTTGTTTGGTTTATATTTGCAAAAGTTTTGTGTTTCCTTCCAGATAGATAGTAGTTGTGTGATTGAATGCCATACATGAATGATGAATCTTAACTGGAGTTTCTCTCATAATAACAAATAGGTTTGCACAGGCGTTATGATGCATGGCTATGGACTAGTTAAGAAGCTGAGCTCTGAGCTCCGAGATTTCATGAAGAAGCACAACTTTTCATCTATCCAAGAGTTTAAAGGGTACTTCTCTCTTTCACACTATATTTTCCCCACACACACAGTTCTTAACTAAGCAAAAAAAAAAAAGATGGAGAGAAAATAAGTGAGGGATTGTTTATTTTAAAGATTGGATTTTTCATCCTGAATATATAAAAGGCTCCAAGGGGGGAATTGGGGTCTAGTGCCATCATCAACTTTTATTCTATACAAGTGTCCTCTCCAAATATCTTTTGGATGGAAAAATTTTGTTACTCTTTTTTTTTTCAATCCAAACTGCAGCAATTAAAAGCAAATGCCTAAAATCCATTTCTTTTAAAAACTTATTCAACCCAAACAAAGATTTGAGGATTTGGAATTCATTGGTGCACGCCTTAACACGTCCTGTGCTGATATTTCTTCTCCATTTTGTTTATTGCCTGCAATTTCAGCGCATCACTTCCATACTTCACAACTCATATGGATTTGGTCAAAAGACAGCAAGAAGCAATCCGCGAGAGGAAAGCAATTAAGAAAGGATTGCTATCCGACAAAGACTGGACGGGAGATGGTTTTGTGCAAGAAACTGAGAGCATGGTTTCCAACTGACTGGTGTGCATTCCTTCTCCCTAAAGGAAAAATAAAACAAAGAAACTGGTTGGCATTATGACTATCTATTTTCCATGTAATTTGTGATGGAAATAGATTAGTTTGAGATCTCTTGGAATGCCAAAAGAACGGCCAGCTTTGTTTTTCCAAAGAATCAAAAGATATATATGATGTTGATTTAGTTATCAATGCTGTTGTTAAATAGAGATTGAACAATGACAATACCTTTTGATAAACGCTCAGTTGTTGCAACACACAAGTAAAAAGCTAGCAGCATGGAATTTGTGAACAGCTTTAATTTAGTCT